ATCAAAACCTGTGAGTCAACACTTAACAACACAGAAAGGGTTGAACTCATGCATTCCAACAATTTCCCCCTTTTTGATAATGACAAACACATGGAGGATATGCTATCAACAATTTACAAAATAAGGCATATAGTCCTATACTCTTCCCCCTTTTGGCATTATCAAAAATAATGCAACAAAAGAACTCATGCATTCCGGGGAGAGAAAAAGAATTCTAAACAAATAAGAAAAATCACATTCCCCCTAAAATCATGCATTTCTAGAAAAAAAAAATGCTTCCCCCTTAAAGTATGCTATCTCCCCTTAAATAAATAAAGCATACAAAAAGATTAACACATATAGCAATAAATTCCCCCTTACTATATGCAAAACATCCTATGTAAATTCCCAGATAAATTCATATTAAAAAAAAATAAAGACTCCCCTTTGATGCAACCTCTTTGGCTAGTGCTTGGAGCATCCACTACAAATTTGTAGTCTTCAAGCACACCTTTCAAGTGCGTCACGTGCCCGACCACCCATCTGGTTCTTCAAGAGCGATGAGGCAACCGTCTTTGGAAGGTTCATCATACTTCCACGAAAAATAAGCAAATCCATCTTGTTTGCTCATTTTCTTAAGCTTCGGGCACTCAAATTTTCGGTGGCCAAGCTTTCCGCAAGTGTGACACCTTGGGGTGTTTTTCCTCTTGCTTTTGTTAAGCTCATGTTTCATAAACTCATTAAAACATTCAACCAAAATATCACATGAAGTGCTAGAATCACTATCACTATCCGAATCCGAATCATCGATCTCTACTTTTTGAGAAGAAGATGCTTTAAAAGCAATTCTAGTTTTCTTCTTAACGTCAAGCGTATGAGAAAGATGATTTGTTTCGTAAGTGATAAGGTTACCTCGGAGACCGTCGTATGTGATAACGTTGTAATCTCGGCCTTCGTAGATGGAGTTAACCTTTGACTCCCATTCCTTGGTAAGACTTCGCAGGATTTTCCTCACTAACTCCTTGTCGGTGAGCGTCTTTCCAAGCATATCAAGGTCGTTGACGATGTTTGAAAATCTTCCAAACATATCCTCCACAAGTTCGTTCTCTTTCATAGCAAATAACTCATATTCATGGGTTAGTAAATCAATTTTTGATTCACGAACTTGAGGCGTACCTTCGTATGTGATCATGAGCTTGTTCCACATTTGGTTGGCGGTTTGGCAACGAGATATCTTTTGATAATCGTTGGCATTGACAGCACAATACAAGAAGTTGATGGCGGTGGCATTTAATTGAGCCTTCTTAAGATCGGCTTCATCATATTCATCCTCGTCCTTCGGGATGAGTGTATCGCCTATCTTCTTCATTGGCAAGCTATCTCCATTCTTGATAGCAAGCCAAATTTTGAAGTTATTAGATTGAACAAAAATTCTCATACGCTCCTTCCAATA